CATAAATGCATGCAAATAAGCCCCCTCTCCTAAGGATTTTTATGGATGGAAGATGAGAATGGAGGGAGCCAGACATGTACATTTTGAGAGATCTTTGGGTGATTTGGATTCAATACATTCTGGTCCTGATTGAACCACTGGTTTAGATCCTGGGTACTTCAAAATGATCCTGCCTAAAAAAGATAACATATAATAACGCTGATAACAGCAGTATCACAATCGCTGATAACAGTGATTCACTGCTCACAAAGTCCTTACACATTTATTATCTTCACAAGAGCCCTGTAAGGCTGAATATGCAGGCAACATCACTACTATTATTCTGTAGAAGAGGAAACAGAGGCTCAGAGGATAGATGACTGCCCTGGATTCCAAAGTTTACTGACAGAAATTGAACCTGGGCCTCCTATTTCCAAATCTCATGTTCTTTCAGGAGACCTTTAACAACCAGTTAATGATGAAGGCTGACCCTAAACCCCAAATCTGTGACCTAACATTACTGATGAACTCACAAAATGGACTACAGTCTCATCCATTCTGATTTTTCTCTTTTGCTTAGAAATGACAATATTTTTTTCCTCCTCCTTTCACTTTCTGTTCTCCTCAAAGGAGTACCACAAAAATGCCATGTACTAGCTGTACTGAGAGGGGCAAAAATAAGGGTTGGATGGATGCTAGGAGGCAGGGATCAACAGCAGTAGTATTTAGAATTTAGACACAACACAAGTTAAAAGCAGTTGAATGAGGCAGAAGCCCTCTGACAATATACTTTCCAGTTTCCAAAGAAAAGCTACCCTAAAATAAATAAATGGATGACCTTAAGAGTGTATATTATTTCCAACTGAAGGAAATGAGATGATTTTATGAAATAAAAATCAAATGTGTTTGTAGTAAGGGAGAAAACTCATTTACACAGCAGAAAAATCAAGATGAGTATAATAATACAATCTGTCTTAATTCTAGCATTGAACATCTTATTGTCAAAAGACAGATACGCGATATGATTTTTGATAAAGAAATTTTTGGATCATGTATATACCATTTCTGCAGCATTTTCCAAGCTTAACATTCAACCTAGAATGGCAAAAGATTTACTCTCTCAAATAAAGATAAAAATGAAGCTAAGCTACCCTAGCAAAAAGTACCTATCTCTCTTCCTTTTACAAGATTGTAAACTCTTAGTACTGGACCAGGTATAGTCCATGTACATAACAGATGCACATTAAGTATCTTTGAAATGGATACTTATCTGTAGATGGTAAAAGGAAAGGAATAAATAATTCACACAAAACAGGCATGAAAAATATAAGAATAATGAGAGTCTATGGCAAGATTGAGGTAAGTCAAATGAAATGCCTTCTCTGATTAGATGATCCTTCAAGTTCTGTATCTTTCAGAATTTCTATGGTCAGATACCACTGATATTTCAATTTAGAAAGTTACAATAGTTACATAGAACTATGTTAATATCCCTTCTATCACCCTTGTGTTTTTATTTTAAGTAAACTCCAATTCAATAGCTCTCAGTGTCCTATCAGATGGCATGAACAGTAGAGATCTTCACAACATTCCAAGACTATCAAACCGCCTCGTTAGTGCAGAAACTGTAAGACTCGTCAGGGTGGGGAGGAGTTTAAAAGTCTCTGAACAGCACAATCATGACTATGCCCCTTATAAAAAAAATTTTTTTTCTTTTTAATTTACACTGGAGTCAAAAGAAATTCATTTTCTCATTTGGGACAAATCATTTTATAAGTTTCAGGAGGGAAAACAACAAACTTCTTGAAACAAGGGAATTTCAAAAGAAATGCGTATTCAAAGAACATAAATTATTAATTTTCTTTCATAGCTTTCATAAAACCTGGATGACTCCAGGTACTAAAGCTCCTAATACTTCTGGAGTCACAAGAATAATACACAATACCCTATATTCTTGAATCTACGACTTAAAACATCTAGGCCGAAAGCACATATGCAGATCTAGTGTACCCCTTCATTTTGATTAAGTAATCTTTTTAACTTTTAATACATACAGAAAAGTACACAAATTATAGGTACACAGCTTAATAAGTTTTCACAAAGAGAATTAAGCCCATGTAACTACCACCCAGATTAAGACATCAGAACACTCAGGTTCTCTAGAAGCCCCCACTCATGCTCCTTTCCCAGTAATGGTCCCTTCCGTTCCCCAAGGGTAGCCCTACTATCCTGACTCTAAACCCAAACATTAGTTTTGCTTTTACCAAAAAAAACTTTATATAAAGGGAATACTATTGTATTCATTCTTGTGTCTCACTTCTTTTATTCAAAATTATGTTTCTTAAATTTTAAATTTGTCCTTGTTAATGGCATGTAGCAGTAATTCTTGCATAGCTATACAATATTTCATTTGTGACTATGCCATAATTTATCTACCCTACAATTTGGGTTTTTCCTATGCTGCTATACGAACATCTTTTTGGTGTAGACATGTATGCATTTCTCTTGGGTATATACCTAGCAGAGGGAGTGTCGGACACAGGGTAGGCATATGTTCAGCTCAGCAGACAATGCCAAACATTTTTCCAAAGTGGTTGTATCATTAATAAGAAAAAGTAAAGCTTAGAGAATTAAAGTGATTTTGTATTTAAAATAATGATTCAGGAGAAGAACCAGAGATAAATTCTGGGGCTCCTTTCTCAACATTCCAGATATTGCTCAAGGCAATCCAGGTAAGGAGATCCATTAATGTAAAATCTGAAGGTCAGAAGACAGATAAACTTCTAAATAATGCCAAAAGGCCTCTGCATGTTGGGTCCTCAGTCAGAAATCCTAGGGGGGTGGAGGTTGTTCCCTACTAATCAGGTATATATATGACCTTAGCCAAGTCACCTAACTTACTTCTCTGTGCCAAAACTTCTTCAACTGTTTGGTGACTGTAATGCTTCCACTTAAACACTCTACATGATGTTACATAACATCTATACCAATATGATCTACAAAAAATTCAAGAGCTCTCATCAAGTAAGGAAATCTTTGAATCCTGTAATATATCTATAATAAAAACTTAGGCAAAAGAAAAAAAATAATTTAGGCAAAGGGGAAAAAATCTTCCTACTTAAAACATTACATACACCTGGTTACATCTTTCCCCAAAGCAAGAAAATATAGCAAAGATGAATCATTTAACGTTGATGATAATAATAACTGATAATAGCAACAGTAAAGAGATTATCTAAATAGAGCTTTATAGTTCCAAAACATTATCATATATAATTCTTTAGAAGACAAAAAAAAAAATGTCAGTGAGAAAAAAAAAAGTTCTTCTCAATGATATTTTAGGTAAACGTGATTACCCCCGGGACAAATTCCTCTAGCCACTAACTTTAAGACTCTTTAGAACACTGGTTTATGGTGCTCTCCAATAGAAGTCTTTATGGCTAAAGGAAAAGGCAATAAAGGCCCACACACAACACCACAGAGAGTAAAAGTTTATCTCCCAAAGAGCTTTCCTTATTCACAAAAAGTATTTCCACTAACAGGAGAGTTAGTGAGTACCATAAATACTTGAAAATTAGGAATTAACCTTACTCTATCGAAAATCGAGAACAGCCTTTAGGAACCAGTACAAAACTAAGGTCCATTCTCTTTTTTCTGTATTCCATCTATCTGTTATTCCCTTTTCCCACTGCCTTCTTCCTACTTTAAGAGATAGAGGACATAGCCTTCTTTTTAAGAAATAGTGGCATCCTCCTCCACCTTCTCTTTTCTTCTTTCCTGTAATTAACTGTCTTCGACTTTGACCAAGTGTTCGAAATATGGATGCTTTTGTTTATATACCATATGGCAGTGTTCTCGATCCTTTCTGGTATAAGAAAACATTTAACTACTTACAAGATGGTAATTCTATACCTGGTATATATCATTTAAGAAAATACAAAATGGTACCATGTATTTAGCAACATAAGCAAATTCATATTTTGTTAGTCTTAATAGTCTTTACATACTTTAAACAATGACAGTATGTATGTATAGTGTAGATAATTTATCCACTATATAGTCAATGTTAGGTTTTTATGAGAATTTTAGAAATTTCTAATAATACCTTGGAGGCCCAGCACAGATTCTTACACCATAGGCTGAGAATTACTAAAATCAAGTCTTATAGTAATTCTCCAGCCTAGTCCCCATTTCTTCATATAAATGAAAGGATTCTGAGTTGTGAAGCAAAATCTTAAGAAGAAGAAAGGAGAAAAGGATATACAATAAATTTATTCAATTTATTTTACTGAGATTTTTGTATATTATGTCAGAAATTATGATAGTATAATCTCTGAACAGCCAGTAACGGCTTTATTAATATCAAAAAAAAAAAATTATCTCATCATGCACATGTTAGTGAATGGTAACACATAAAAATACAGGTCAATGATTCTAAATATCAGTCTCCACAATCATGATGTTCACATACGTACAGGCACACACACTCACATACACGGTCTCTACAAAGTAGAGCACGTAACCACTGGAATAAAACACACTCAGCCATATAATTACCCACTGACCACAATGATTCAAATAAAGTTAATTTGTTCTTTTAGGGAAAAAAATCTGTCTATAAGCTCCCAACTCTAGAATATAAATGTCAAATTATCTCTAATTTGAGATAAGCCAAATAAACTATAAGAGGCATCACTGGGATTGATTTACTCTTTTGGTCCACTCATTGGATTGAACCCTAAATGACCATGCAACTGAGCAGGGTCTATCAGATCATTTAATAATACAATTATCATCTATAGCATATACAAAGGCACATACACAGCTCTTTGGGCACCTCACTCAAATGTGTTATGAGTCTATTTTCACCCCAATTTTATTTGGTTAGAATATTTTATTTTGCAAGTTTCATAAAAGAAACATTCTCTAAGTAGTATTAGAAGAAACCTCTATTAAAATAGTCATTAAAATTCTGCCTTAACCAGTCATTATACTGCAAGTTTAAGAGTAACAGGTCTTACCTGTTTTCTGAAAAAATATCTTGTTTTTAAGGTTAATAACTTGCCCAGAACAGGTTTAAGATCATCCTTAACACCCTCTACAAAGCCATCAGTAGTCAAGAGTCGGGTGGTGGAGACAGACCTGGATTTCAGTGCTAGCTTTTTCATGATCTAACCACATTTGAATAAGGTTACAATTATTCAGGCAATCCATGTTCAATGGTATCAAATACAATATTATTCACCATGATACTGCCAAAAAAGAAGTTTTAGCAGGATCCACTTTTTTTGTCAATCAACAAATATTCATGAGAAAGGAACTGGACTCCAGAGTGCAGTCACAACTTCCATGTAAGTTAGGTTCAAAGTCAGCAAGCAAGGTGAAAATTAACATGATCAAAATACCCTAGAATCTCCTTTATATCATTCATAAAGAACAATATACATAATTTTGTATATTCAACTACACTACAACTTGAGGACCTCTAAGTTAGATAAAAGGAAGGAAAAAAAGCAAAACCAATATGCACATATTAGGGCAGTTCATCCTTCAAGAATTTATTAGATTCTTAGCAGGTAAAGTATGGGTCAAGTATTCTAAAGGGATGCTGATTGCCTAAGGAGTTTACTACATTCTGTTTTAACATTAAGGATCTATAACCTCAATACAAGTTACTAGATTTATTTAACACAAGGTGGGGGAGGAGGGGAGCAGCAACCTGGAAAGGAAAGGGTATGTTAAGCAGACTCACAATCTGCCAGAAATGTAAATGCATAGATGCAACTCCACTGTATTTTATAGGTCTAGTTGCTGCATCTCAAAGAACCTATAATTGACAGAACACTAACATGTAAAATGTTAACTTTAAGAATGAACATACTTGCATTTCATTGATTCATTCAATAAATATCTACAGACCATTCACTATGTACTACCTATGAAAAAATTCAATTGCTACTCTGAAGGAATTTCCAGTCTAGTGATAAGAGACAAGCACTAAGTAACATGGCAGAATAATGTAAAAGTACAGCGGTGCAGAAGAAGAGATTCCTAAATTGGCCTAAAGGAGGCAGGAAAGGCTTCAAAAAGGAAATAGTGGGAGGAAGAAAAAGCAATGAAGGAGACGACATCCTAGGCAGAGAGAAAACTTGTGTAAAAATCAAAATGTATAGGAGAAAATCGCATGTTTAATTGATTTTCATGGGCTGGAAATAACGGCAAAATGTTTCATAATAAATTTTTTTCATAAGAAAAAACCTGACTACAGGGATTATAGGGAGGTTTTATAATAACTAATAGGAAGTTCACAATATTCTGTACCTGCTAATAATTATGTAGCTATTCTGTTCTTAATGTAACCCACCCATAAAAGGAAACTAATTGTGGATAAGGAGAGTAATTTCAGGAGAAGAAAGTATTTGCTTGCCATTTCTGTTTCAGCTTTTAAGACTCTCAAATATGAATACTCGTGACTGCCTTGGAAATGATGTATGGTCTAATGCTTAAGGGTCAAGATTTTAGAGTCATATGAAGTAGATTTGAGTCCTGGCTCTGTCATTTCCTAGCTGTGTGATCTTTGGAAAGTTACTTAAATTTCCTAAGCTTCAACTTCATCTACAAAATAGAAAATAATAATACCGATGACCTCACAGCACTATTTGTGAAGATATGGCCATCTATAAAGCAGAAGGCATGCCCACACTAGACAAGCACTATCATAGGCGATAGAAATATAGAGAAAAACCAAGCAGGAGAGATAGTTATAGCACATTTGGTTACATGTCTATCAGAGATGCTCTATACAGGAGACCACAGTAGGTTTACAAAAGCAAGGTTCAAAATATCTGACAGGATCAGAAAAATCTTCATAAAAGCGATAACTTTTTACATGTGGTGAGAAGAGACCCAGAAAGGGAAATGACATGTCGTGGGTCACTCAGCAACTTTAAGATATAGCCTCCTCTCTAGATCTCCACTCAGAGTTCTCTCCTTACTCAGAGTATTTGCTATTAGTAATTTTCTATGGCTAGTCATTAGCCCATGTACCAGAGATGAGAACTGTTTTTGTAAAGAAAAAAAAAAGGGGGGGGGGGGGGGAGCAACACACAGAAAGAGCATGGGGCAATAAAGAGTAACATGGAACAAGGATTCAGGGAACCTAGGTGCATACACCCATTCTACCACCAAAGAAGCTAGAGACACTAAGCAAGTCATTCACTTGCTTTCAGTCTTAACTTATTTTGGCACTTTAAAAATATTAAGTATG